AAACCACCAATTGCAAATTTGAGGAAAAAAAAACAAACCTAAATTCGATTCGAACGGCGATTTCACGGGTATTTGCGGTCGTGCTCGAATGCCGGAGTGGGGGCGAGATCATTGGCCGGAGGGGGGTAGTCAGCGGCTGGATTCCTGTGCAGGATGCGCGATCGATCGTGAAAGGCCGGAGGAGACTGGGGGCAAGCGTCTGTTGCGAGAGAAGAGAGAAATGAGAATAAATGAAGCAGAAGGCTAGGGATGACTAAATTTAGGGCAATTTCTAGCGGTTTTCCGGCGGTTTTGACTGCTAGAAACAAGTCACTTAAACCGGCTGTCCTAGCCGCTTGTAAAAGCGCCGGTAAAAAAATATAACCGGTTCCCTAGCTGCTGGTTATTATACCGCCGCTAATTCCGGTGGCGGTTAATTAAATAATCGCCGGTTAAATCTTCGGTAATATCCGCTTGTAGTATCTGAATTTCCTGTAGTGTTGGTTGTCAGGTCAACTTGAACCCAACCCATGTTTTCAAACGGGTCGAATACGGGAACTCGAACCCTACCTGTTTTGAAATCAGGTTAGGTCTAACCCGAAATATTTTAATCGAATTTTTGTGACATGTCAAATATTGACACCCCTACTGTTAGGGTTAAAAGGTGAGCCTACATCTAATAATTTTCTATAATCTATCGAAATCTTATAACTTCTCACTTTTGATTCACTTTATGTATCTATGATATTTTTTCTGTTATTTTCTTATCTTTCTTGTTAGTAAGATTTTGTTGTTACCCATAATCATTATAAAATTAACAAATATATTGTACATTTTTAGTATCAAAGTTAGGAGATGGATGATCAAAAGTAAAAAAAAAATGTTAAAAATTAGAAAATATTTAAATTGCATTATAAACAAACAAACACCAACAATGTTTTTTCACATGCTGATATACATCTCTTATCTTCCAAAAAAAAAAAATCTACAACAAATAACTTGTTGCAACAAATTCAATGCCCCCATAGAAAATATTTTAGTAGCCAAGACTAACATCCATAATTAAAAATAGTAAGGCATTCATATGAGTATTAATCAATAGCAAGCTCTTTCTCTTTGAGGCTTCCTTTGATACGGCTTTCTTATTATTTTATAAAGCAGCTTTTTATAGTACCAAAATTTCTACTTTAAAAAATTTTATAACTAGAAATTTTTGTACTAAAGTATTATTTTAAGAAGCAGTAAAAAAACTGTTCCAAATGAAGCTTTATTGGCTCACAAATGGTATTGAATGACTAGATTTTATAGGTTTCATTTCAAGCAAGAGTTATCATCACAATTAACCAAGATTAGATACTAATTTGACACTATTTTAGTGCACTAATAATTTATTGTTAAACTAATTTTTATAGTCAAACTGCATGAAAAATGCAAATTACCGACAGATTTTTCGACGAAAGTTTTATAACGAATTTCTAGCGGAATATTTGCAACAAATTTACATCTAATTTCTAGCAGATTTTTGATGTATTGAAAAATAATTTTAATATTTATTGTTAACTTATAAGAATATAAATATTTACTTTTATTAAATTATTATTTTTACTATTCTAGTGTCATAATATAAATTAAAACAATTAACACTGTTAACATAATATCCTCCAGGACCAAGTGGAAGAGAGCCTGTAATCCCCCCAAATGATCGGGATTTGAACCTCACCTAGCAATGGGTAGGGAATTTTTTTTTATTTTTCTGTCGAAAATTTGTCGGAAATGTTTCCAACAGATTTTTTTCGCTGTTGAAATATTTCTGACTCATATTTTATTGGTGGAAATATTTCCATCCGAAATCTACTGAAAATACGAAATTACGATGGAATTTGGAGATTTCTGACGAAAAAGTCCGTCGGAAATCAACGATTTTCCTGTAGTGTCATATTCAAAATCTAATCTTTAATAACCTTTGATAATTCATTTTATTTAGTATAGAAGATATGACTATTGATCGATCATATATGAATGTATCGCCTTTTTGACGTAACAATCATTTGTTAGATTATTTCATAAATGATGTAGAGGAATTCATCAATTTTTCGTTCCAAGAAAATAAAAAAAATATTATGAAATAAGGTCAAATGTTCAACAAGCAATTATCCTTTTATCCTAAACAATTTTCTTAAAATTGAAAATATTTTTGTAATATGCAAGGATATTAAAATCGGATCGAACCGGCCGACCGACCGGTTCGATCCACACAAGGAACCGATATAGCATAAAATCGCTTCAAAACTGGGTGAGCCAGTAGTCGAACAGATAAACCAGCATCGGTTTTTCAAAACTGCATGGTTTAAGGATAACGAAATCTGGGCCGTTTGTTTTATATCAAGCGATTCATATTAGACTATTCCAATATTCCCAATGCCATAAGCCGGCCGCTCCTTCCTCTCTGTTTAGCAACCTCTTCGTTCATGAGCTTGACAAGCGAACCGTGATGAAGCTCCTCCCCCGTTGTTCTCCCATTCCTTCCTCTCTGCTCGGCATCCCCTTTTGTAAGATTTTTCATTGAAGTTTAATCTTGTTCGATCATACGGTTGCTTACTTTTTCAAGTTTATTTTTGCTACAATCAAAACTTATTTTTTGCTGAAATTGCTTTGAAGTTTTTGCTAAAATATTAATTTGTAATTGAGGAAATTAATCTCATACATTTGGATTTGTTTTTTTATTATTATTATTTTCTTGGTATTAACAATACGAATTAATTTAGGTGAAATCTATTAAGATTATCTCCGGTCAAATACCTAACATTCGTTTGACGTCCGTCTTTTGCTCAGCCGATCGGCAAAAATAATACTATTTTTTTAAAATTCAAAAAATAAATAAAGTATGAGAAAGAATACACAGAATATTTTTTTTTTAAATTTTAGAAAATAAAGTTCGGTTGAAGATAAGTTAATTTATTTTGAAGTAAAAAATGAAATTTTTGGTTGGAGATGGCGTAAAGCTCATTGTGTTGAAATATTTTTAATAATTCATTTGTTTAATTTTTCCTAAAGCATCAAATACATTCCTTCGTGAGCTCTCCTTGCCAAGTTAATAACCTAGTTGCCTAAAACTTTTAAGCATTGAAGTTTATTAGGTTAGTTATAAACAAGTAAACGTGAATAATTAAATTTTTCTTGTTATTTATGTGCATTGATGTTTCAAATCTACTTAACTTGTGTATGTAATTATAGAAATTTTAATGATTTCATTTAATTAATCATATTAGAATGAAATCACTCAATAGTAGAGTGCAGATTCCAATTTAATATTCGTGAGAAAGTGGATATAATTTGGAATCATTTCACTGAAATTAGAGTAGATGGAAAGAAACCATTCAAATATTAATACTATATAAATTATAGTATTGCATACAAGGGCGGAGAATAAATAAAACGAAATAACATTTAGCACGAGTTAAGGGAAATATAACTGTCCGTAAAAAAAGGTCCACACAATGTTCACTATCAAATGCTTGAAAATTTTTAAAAAAAAAATTCAAAAAGAAAAGAAGGATCGAGGGAGTTGAAAAGTACACTGTTTCTTATAGCTGTCCGTAAAAAAGGTCCACACAATGTTCACTATCAAATGCTTGAAAATTTTAAAAAAAAAATTCAAAAAGAAAAGAAGGATCGAGGGAGTTGAAAAGTACACTATTTCTTATAGATGTTGAAACAGAGGAAGGAAGAGATTCGTCTTCTCTATCTAAATCAAAATTTTCTGAAACGCTTGTATTAAAACTTGTTAAAGAAAAATAAAAGAGGATGGACTGATAGGAGCCAAAAAGTAATGAATTATCTGATATATTATTTGTGGTTTATCTTTTTCGAAGATGTTGATACTTCAAATATTTTAAGGATGCTATAAATTTATGTTCTTTATTTACTAAAATTATTGAGTGAGTAGGTGCAAAGAATATTGTTCAACTAGTTATTGATAATGTTATTAATTACAAAAAAAGTGATATATTACATGAAAGATTTAACAATATTTATTGGTGACTTTGTGTTGCACATTATATGAATTTAATTTTAAAAAACATGAGCAACATACCTCCCATAGATTAACAAGGAAAGTCTCGGTGGTGACAATTTTTTCTTGTATATATATATTTGCATTGCTTAGAAGAAGGCTAAGTTGGTAGGAAATTGAACATCTAGGAGCCACACGTTTTGTAACAACCTTCATAACTTTAAAAAATGTCTATGAGCACAAACATAACCTACAAGCATTAATCACTAGCAAGTTCTACACATTCAAAGATTTGCAAAGCCTCCTAAGGGAAAGAGACAACTTCAATTATTTAGGATGTGAAGTTTTAGAATGATTGTGTTATGATTTCAAAAATATCAGGTCATTTAATCAAGTTGTTGTGTATTATTAACCCATATGAGAAATCATCGCTTAGATATCATCAATATGATAACATGTATTGGTCATGAAAGGCAAACAAAGCAATGCTAAAAAATATTAAAAGATTATGTAAGTCATTTACGTCGATAATAAAAAAAAAAAAGATGGGATACTCAATTGCAGCATGACATACATACATCAGCATACTTTTTGAATCATAATTTTCTATACGATAAAGACAATTATTATTACAAGCCAGAAGTTATGCAAGATCTTATTAAATTACTTGAAAATAAGGACATTTACTCTAAGCCCAAACTTGTAATGAATGGGATAAAATTATTCCGTAATGGCTTAGAAAACTTTAGAAAACTATGACGATGACAAAAGAAATGCAACCTGATAATTCTCTTCTTAATCTTAATATATACTTATTTTTTTTATAAATATAAATATTCATTAAGCTCTCTAATTTGAAATTATGTAGATATGTGATGGAAGATGTTTGAATCAAATGCTCCAAACATGTAGAAAATAGCTATAAGAATTCTAAGTCAAATATCATTTTCTTTGCCAGTGTCAGAGAGAGAGAGAGAGAGAGAATAGCAAACGATAAAAACTTTTCATATAAACACAATCAAAAGAACTTGGCATATAAAACAAATGAGAAGTAGACATTGAGAGTTGCGGACTCTAAACTCACCCAAAATTCCAAACAGGACACCTATATCAAGGAAAAGAATTTAAGTATTTTGATTATATTGTCAATTGTCTGAAGAAAAAAATAACATAAGGCACGCACTAGAACTGACACACATAGTACTAAGACATTAAATATAAGGATGAAGTTTACTTAACCAATAAATTCAACACATTTGTGAAGGAAGGCCACACAATGCTGATGACAAGTTACTGTTGTTTGCATTCAGGAGGTCTGTCAAGTTGCTGGCCATCTCCTTCAGTCTTCTATCATTTCAGACAAAAACATCAACAAAATCAGGCATTAAAAATATTTGCTGGAGATATAATGATCCCAACCGCTTGATTTAAATCAAAGGATTTAGACATTGGATAGTACCTTACGCCCAGCTGCAGGCTGCTCAAGCCAACCACAACAAGAGATAAGTCAGCTTTCACCTTCAAAATGATATAAATTATATGCAAAAGGAAATTTAGGCTTCGTTTGGGACAACCTTCTTACTGCTTCATAAAGTAATTTTTTTGTATCAAAATTTTATTTTTTGCACTAGAAAGCTGCTTTAAGAACCAGTAAGAAAACCGTCCCAAACGAAGCCTTAAATGAGAAAACAGGGTACCTTCTTCCTGGTTCTTACTTCCTCTTCTTCTTCATCCTCGTCTTCCTCATCTTCATCCTCTTCTTCGTCATCCTCATCTTCATCTCCTTCATCCTCATCTTCAGCCATATCTTCAAAATCCTCCTCTTGAGCTGCCTCTCCAGTAAACCATGAGACAGCATGAGGGATGATCTTGTCCCGCATAGTCGAACTGCACCAGAATAATGGAAAAGTAATTCATTTTTCACAAAAGAAGAATTAGCAAAAAATATTTACAGAATTTTCAAACCATACCACCATAGGTAAACAAACCAAAGAATCAAATAGAATGGCTTACCCAATGTCATAGTCTTGCTCCATCAGGTCCTGTAGCTGTTCAGCCTGTCAAGAAATTATAAATAAAATAAAAGGTTAATAACTTCTTTTATCCTGTTTTGATGTTGTAATATTGGCAGGATTGAATGGCAACATACAGCCTCTTCCTCAATTTCTTCATCATCATCAGGAACTTGGGGAGGACTGAAGAAATTGAAAAAACTCTCGCAGGTTTCCGTCTTAGTTATTGGCTTGGTATTCTTCGATCCTTTCTTTGGTTTCTTTTTAAGAATTTTCTGAGTCAAGCATTTCCCTGGAAACCATTCGATTTCAGACCTGCAATAGAAATAAAGTATCCCTTTGAATAAACAGAAATAAGCATCAATGGTCTACTGACGAAGATATATAAAATACATACCCTATTGCTTTCTCTAGAATAGGCTCATCGTCATCAATCATGTGATATGTTTTCGTTAGGACAGAATTCTTGAAATAAGGATTAGGATTGAAGAAGAACTCGAGCTTAAACCCCTTTGGATCATTGAGTTTGGACCATTTAATATCTTTAAGATATTTCAGAGCATCCTCATCACGCTCATGGATCTGATCTCATTCCCAGAGTTAACAAAACTATAAGCAAAATAGTTTACAGAATGAAAATATTAAAGATCCTGAAAATTTTTACCAACCTCTTCAGATAAGACATCATTAGTTTTCAATGCCGTAAGCCAAAACTCAGGCACACCTTTTCCTGTAATCAAAACAAGTTAGAATACAACTGGCTAAGGCTTCGTTTGGGACGGGCTTTCTTATTGCTTCTTAAATCAGCTTTTTAGTACAAAATTTTTAATTTTTGTAGTAGAATTCTGCTTCAAGAAGCAGTAAGAAAGCAGTCCCAAACAAAGCCTAAGACGAAGTTGATCTTGGAAACAATAAATATTAATAAGATAGATAAACCTTCATTTGCTTTATCCTCAGCAGCATCCTCTTCAAGGTCATCAGCATCACCCTCTACCTCAACCAAACCATTTACAATCTCATACCTCTACATAATCCATATAAAAGTTACCCAAACCAAAGTCATTAAACCAACAAATATTACAGTAGGGTATGTGAAAATGGAAAAAAAATGTAAATCACCTTAGTGTACAGAGGCTCATAAAGTTTTTGGTATTTGGCCTCAAGGGCTGCTCTTTCCTCATAAAATTTAGCCTCAAGCTCATCATGCTCAACCTATATATTTCATGACAATAACTGCATTCTTAAATAGTTTTGATAATACCAGTATGACATCCATCTATAAGAATTTTGTATCCATAATTCTACAAATCAGACTAGGGTAGAGAAAACAAATTAAAACTGAACAAAAAACGCAATAGAATGTTAACATTTCCAATACAGCAACACTCACAAAGTAGCATCGTCACTCAAGGAAAGAAAATACAATCAGAAAAACAACCGCCAAAAATACAATGCATTGCACGCAAAAAACTGCAAGGTAGTTACCTACAATGACTGAAATACACCTGCACATAAAAAAATTAAGGAAGCAAACAAATTAGGCCAGTAGCAGATATGCATCTTGGCACCACCAAGATAGAAGTTGCTAATCCAATGAAGTTCACTGTTCATATAAAATAACTAGAGCAGTGCCGACTCCACCACCTGTAATAATCAACGGGAACGCTTGGCATGATTCTACTATATATTGGTTGAAAGTTTAGGGGAGGCTATAAGATCATGTTGAACTATCCTTAGCACACCAAGAGGGAGTGAATTGGTAATTTTAAAAAATACTAAAACAAAGCCGCTATTTTTGTTTTAACCAATATCACAATTTATGAAAAATTCTAGCCGAGTGACTAACACAAGCTGAATCAAATAAAAAACTTAATTTTTCTTTTTCAAAATTTTGTAACACAAATAAATCAGAAAATATTTTTGCCAATATTTTTGTTTTATAAATCAAAATTAAGCTAATATTTTGTTTTAACCAATATATATATATATATATATATATATATATATTACTAACACAAATTAAATCTAACCAAGCAAGATTAGTAATTTAACTGCAGTTTGTAATGAAAATTAAACTCGTGCAAAAAATTTAAAATGTAGAAAGTAAAAGAGCAGAAAAATCAGAAAGAACACACCATAATTTTATAGTAGTTCGGTCAACCTTGACCTACATCCACTCCCTGAAGTCCTCTCAAGGTATTGCGCTAACACTATAGTGACTCTTCCTTAACCCACACAGTAAGTCGAAGAAGCCCTTACAAATCACTTTAATCAAACCCGATGCGGCTGAGAACCGAAAGCTATGTCACCCTTCTTGTGATGGCAGCAAACCTTTGAAATCTTTCTCACCCTCCTGGTGATGGCAGAGAACCTTCAATCCTTTTTCACGCTCCTAGTAAAGGTAGAGAACCCACAAAATCTACCACGCTCTCATGGTAATGGCAAAAAATCTTCAATCCTTTTTCACCCTTCTGGTGAAAACAGAGTACCCGTGACCCTTGATCTTGAAGCTTCTCTCCCAAGAGAAACTCCAAGAACTCACCAAGGCCACTAGAGGAAGCAAGGTGCAAGCTTTGCCTGGAACAACCGTGTGAAAACCCTTCACACTCATTCTCCCTCACGCACAACCTCACCTTCTTCCTAACCAAAGCCCAAGAGCTCTCTCAAGAATTCTCCCTCAGAGTTCCTTTAACAGCCAAAAGTTTCTCTTGAGACAAGATTGAATTGCTTAAATACAAGACTTCAAATTGGCCAGTACAATATTAAATGATATATCGTACTGTACGGTATATATCCTCTTGATTTATTTGTATTACAGTGTAACTGTAACACAAATTCAAATAGAATTAACCTCCGCAGCACAGTGGGAGAGCCATGTCCAAATTCTAGATCAAGTTGGAGAAATCGCTTCAAAAAGTTGATTGATTTTAAATTAAAGCTGCTATTATTTTGGATGTTTGATAGTGCAGGCTTTTGAATTTAATCCACACTTTGAACTGTCTTCAAAAACTTCAAAAACCAAAGGTCAAAAGATCTTTTTTTCAACTCTTCCCTAACAGAATGGTTTCCACCTTTATAGCCGACCAAATAACTACAAGTCTCCCAGCATCACCAAGAATTTTAAGTTACCACCCATGGACAACCAAATGGAACAAACTCATTATCCAGATACCCTGGTTGTATGACTTAATTAAATCCTAGAAATTTTGGCCACTCCAGCTCTCATTTGGTTTCTCCAAGTATTTTCTTAAAAATAGTTTTCCATAAAGGACAACATCCCATCCACTCAACGAGCATCAAGGAAGACTCTCTCCGCTTTTTTCTTGCATCTATATGATCTCAAAAATCAAAAGATAACTCAACAACCAAGTTAAATTTGTACAAAATATAATCATCATCACAACCTACCAACAATAGTCAGAATTTTATAGAGTGAATTAGAATCTCAAATTAGCCGGTAGAGCAGACTTAAAAAAAAAAAATTCTTTTGAAAGGAGCAAAATGCCATGTAACAAAGACAACATTTTAAGCAGTTTAAGAACTCAATTTTTTTAAGGGAAGCCTCTTACTAGGCGAGTAGTCCTTGCCATGCAGGCAGATGCTCCCCTGTGTGGCAGGGCAAAAAAAAAACCTTAATACAAGAAGTTTTACTCGTTTTACAGTTAGTGGCGTATTCCTCAACAAAACAACTAGTTCTATGGTGTTTTGCTCCTACTTAAAATATTTTTTTAACCCGTTCACCGGCTTATTTGAGTTTTTAAACACTCCTTAAATTTTGGAGTCAAAGAAGTAAAACAGCTTAGGAATTGTTGGGCATCATCAATTTTGTCATGATAATCACTTCCAACTACATCAAGTTCATCATGATTTTTCACTTCCTACTACCATAAGTCTCCTCCATGTCTGCGCGACCACAAAGGAATAAGGTGCAGGCACAAATGGATGGATGACAGGAATGTAGAGAGACCAGTAGAGATCAAACAAGAAAAAGTAAGTCATAAAACTATAGTCTTTCTAATCATGTGAGCATGCGCACATCAGATCAATCCCAGGAAAAGTTCCACTGCCCTATGTAAAACTAAAAAAAAAACTAAGCCCAACTGTGAGTCAAGTCAAAGCAAACAATAAGTAGGAAGTAGGAACTAACTTGGCCACTAAGAGTCACGTTGGATAAAAAAATTGTGAATCTTATAGGCTTCATTTGTAAAAAAGGCGATCAAGGAGAGGTCAATGTCACCTATAGTTATACCACAATGTAGCTTCACCCAAAAGAAAGAAGTATGTCTACCAAAGAAGAATAGGACAAGCATTGTCACATGTTAAGAAGCCTTCATTACTAAAGAAGCATGAAAATCCATTCTCTTGCCAATTCAAGCATGAAAAGGATAAGAAGAAATTAATGCCCTACTAGTTTTAAAATACTCAAAAGAATAAGAATTAACATCAAAACAAGTTAAGCCATGTAAAACATGTAAAGAATGACTTCTGACATTTGTAGGACTCCTAAAGATGATAAGCTACCTCAACTCCATAAACTAATGAAGCTCTTAAAGAAATTTCTAAAATCTTAAGAAACTTCTTAAATATTAGTTACCAAAGCCAACACAGTGGTGTGCATAGTTGAGAAATTGAAAAGCTAATCTTCCCCCATCTAAAGTTATGATTTTACAATAGTGAAATTTTCCTAAATAAAAGACTTAAGATATTAGGAAAAGATCTAATAGGTAACCAATCAAATCCCCTATGTTGATCATTCGATCATGGAATGATCAAGGGAATCATGTTTTTTTATGTTTATCAGCCCAAATTTTTTGATGAAAATTATCAACTATGACTATTCTCAAGTCACGCCATTGAAATTGAAGATGTTGCCAGGAGCCTATAGGCACAATAAACTATTGATAGGACATTATACAATAGAGATTAGTCTTTAGAGACTAGACTACTGAATCAAGTTGTAAATTACAACAAGATAAAGATGAGTTTGGAGTTATAAACTTGTTTGGATAAATTTGGACTTAAATTTAAATTCAAAATAGGATAATTCCGCCAAGAATTATCATTTAAGAGTGCTTTCCTAGATTGTTATAATAAATATGATTTTCTTTTCAATGAAATTAGCGTAAAATTAAATCATAATAATTCAGTGTTTGTTTATAAATAAACTTAATTTCCTGGAATTAAATCAATTCAAAATTTCTCCCAAAAAATCTTCCTCTTCTCTTCTCCTCGCCAAATTCCCTCATCCCATTCTAGTATTGTGGAAACAAATAAATAAATAAACTATAGCAACCAAGTATTGTAAAACAAGTTGTAAAACCTCTTAGAAAATTATTAAATAAACAATGCACAAGATACTTTAAGCACTTCGTGTAAAGCCCATATTTGCAGTCCTTTGACCAAATAATAAAATCAAGGTTGTTAACAATAATATTAAAACTATGCCAAGATCCACATGAAATCAATGTGTTGACCTCGTTTTTGGTTCGAGCGTGCTCGAGCACTTTAGACCAATCTGATTGAACCCCGTTGAGCCCAATTCGAGCTCGAATCGACACGACTCGAATCGGATTAGACTCGATTGTGTTCAATTGGATTCGATCGGTCGGTTTTCGGTGTGTCGTATTTCAAATAATATGTTAAAAAATGGCGACGGGTTAGAGGTTAAGGAAGTTGTTACGACTAGGGGGTACACGAAATGTGATTTGTCTGCGGCTTTACTTCAGGATTTATGTAAGTTTTAATATATATCGGGTGAGGCATAAGCCTCACGCCAGTGAGGCGAGGCGCACCTTAAGGCAGGCCTCAACCAAGTTGAGGCGCAAGCCTCATAATAAAAACTTGAGGCGTAAGCCTCAAGGCGCTTTTCACTGGAATTGCGCAAAGGCGAGCCTCATATTGCGCAATTTTAAACCATGCATGAAATAAAGACATTTAATCTTTGGTGGTATCATCCAATGATCGTGCATATAGAAAAACATTATATTAATTTTATTCTAGCGTGCAAGATTGAAAAGCGAAGATAAAAGCAAAAGCACATTTTAAGGCATCAATGGAATATGATAGCAGCAAAGCACATAAGCTAAAGGTTGGTTTTGGAAATTGGGCAGTCTATGAATTTAAATAATTTACAAATAACATGATTGTTTATGCATTAAATCAAGGTTTGAAAATTAGCAATCAGGTATTAATGCATTTTCTTTTTGTGAGTCAAAGCATAAGCCTCAAGGAATTTTAAAGTGTAAGCTTCAAAATTAAACAATCAAATTATTTTAAAATATGATATATTAAACACTTAAAAACAATCCACCTTAGGACTCAAAAATAGATAACTTCATTAGAACCATCATCATAGTTGATTACTTTCTCACTTCCCTCATCCTCACTTGTATCAACATCTTCCTAGCATTCATCATCATCGTCAATGTTAAGCATGAATTTTCCCTAATAAATAACATTTAATAATACTATTATTAATAAAAAAGACTATATTGACCTTTATAATTTTATATTTTATATTTCATAAAGTTTGACACCAACATTGAATATTACTTTTTGGTCGACTTTTGTTGTTCTTACTCCTTCCACATTAAAAAAAACAACAACATTGAGATCCTCATATTGTAACTGTGACGGTAAAACTCCAGTATCATCCTCCAAAAAACCATTTATCACAAGGTTTTTCTTTTTCTAATAATGACCTATGTTCAATCATAAAGCCCACTTAGGCTTGGGTCGTTCAAATAAGAAGGCCACATAACCCCTAAGATAGGGGCGTATACTCCATTATATGCACGTTGAGGCACGCCACAAACAATTAAGGCGTACGCCTCTTTTATTCACCAGGATGTAAGCAATGTGCTTTGTATGTGTCTTGCCTTGAGGCACACCTCAGATTACATAATTCAATTCGACATTAAATAACAAGGACAGGGAGTTTGAACTATACTTATGAATCATAGTTAGAACACGTCATCTGAAAGACAACATACCAATATTTATCTATTGGTTTATGCCAACTTTAGCATTATGCTTTGCTATCAACTAAAAAATGTTTACAACTTTTCAAGTCAACAAGCACAAGATGCCAAATGCTGCCTTGGGTGCACAAACAAGCTAAAGTAGGCATTAAATTTTTCTTCACCTTTCAAACCTTAATGAATTATAAGGAATGTATTTGAAGAATTGTCATCATAAGCAGCATCACCATCATTAGTCTTATCAAAACTAGTTGAGACAATAACCTAGTAATAATAAAATTTTAACGCAATTTTTTTTAAATAACACCAAATTTTGTCTATTAATATAACTAACATCTTTATGCCTTTATTCATCAAATTCTCACCTAAATGTCAAAATTCACAACAAAGCTACCAACTTTCATTCTAAGCATTTTGTCAAGCTCCAAATGATTTGGTCACAACACGCACAAATACTTGGGTTTGTTAGTTCAAAATTTTTTTCTTTGGTATTAGATATGTTACTATATTCATTTGGGTGATAATGATGTAAATATCCCTAATTTTTAATGTTTTAATACATGCAAGGTTCTACTAAGCAAAGTATTCATATAACATAAATAGTTAAATATTCAACATGGTTGTATGACCCACGAATAACCTAATATTTGGTGCTATTTATATCATCTTTATGTCATCTTCATCATCTTCTTTGTTTTCAAATCCTTAAAACTACTTATTTCCTCTTCATCAACATGCTTTCAATTTTCCCATTACTAGATGTGCATCCTTCCATCTCAAAATTGTTTCCTCAAGTTCATAAACTTCATACTCAAGATTTACTATTCTATACATGCTATTTCACTTGCAACTACCCTAAACTTCAATTCAAGTGTTAATCTTAATTTTATTAAATTACTTAGAATCTTTACACGTCAACACAATCAAATAATCATCATTTTAAAACTAATTCATCTTAAGATTTGAAGTATTGACATCCATCTCTCAAATCAATTCAAGATATTTGCCTCACTACTTAGTGTTTTGAGGTATGTGAATGTCTTAGGATCCAGGGTTTCTAATGCACATCTATCATGAGATGCATAAATATCACACAAAAAATAAGCACAAAATTCACATGTCACAAAATTTAAAATTTTTGCAATGAAATATAATAATGAGAACAAAAATTGAATAAAATTTTAATTGCCTTCTGTAAGAAATCATGAATAGATATTCAAAACTTAACTAGCTTTTTCAATATTGATATTATTCTAAAGCTTTAGCAGCAATTTTAAAAAACTTATAAAACTCTCAACCTAATACGTAGTACCCTTTCATTTGTAATGCTACTCCAACACTTTAATCAATCATTTCACAATGTCATTCACAGTTCTAAATTTCTAATAATGCATGCACATTAACTTCCTCATTTCAGCTATATTCCACATGATAATAAAAGGTTAGATGATTTATTTGGTTGAATGTACCACCCAAATGTAACTGCGACAGAAAATATTTGGCAACCAAAATTAAGTTTCTGTTTTCCAGCAAGAATTTCTGAATAAGCCATTAATTAGAGCAATAGCAAGAAAAATGCACTATGGACGATGAATCATTGGTGAATCATTAAAAAGACTGCAGAAAACCAAACCAAAAATAATAAGCATCACAAAGGAAGCAAGATAAAAGGAGCGCATTTATCAATTAAAAATTTATAGGTCATACTACAAATTAGCGTAAGGGAATTGCTAATTTTCTACTTGAGAAAAATTTTCTAAGAACTAATGCATAAACTCGCATCCTCTCCAAATGCTGTGCCTTCGGTAAAAAGCAAATGATTAATGGAAATTTTAATTAAAAAAAGATTAATAGTATATCACCAATACTCCAAAGGACAAATAAAAAAAACCGAAATTTCATAACCGCAAACAATAAACAGTTAAACTCATAAGTAGCAAACAAGCTGATTTATACGACAATACCCTCATAATAAAAGATGTAAATGAATCACCAATCAGGAAAGAAGGTAAGGAACCTGGATTTCCTTCAGAACCTCCACCCGCTTTTTGACCTTAGGAGACAAAGTCTCCATCACGTCTGTGTGCTGCCCCGCCAGGCTCTGCAGCTTGTTCTGCTACCCACAAGCACATCCTTTCAGATGAACATAGTCTCCAAATCCCCAAACATCGCAACACTAAAAAAAAGAGAAAAAAACCCTACCTTGAGAGCGTTTACCATGCCTGCCCTATCCTCAGCGCTTAGACCTGTAAACCATAAGTAACCTTAGCACGAAAGAATCAAAATTGAATAATTTGACAGATCAAAGCTAAATAGATCGATAAGGAAAAGGTTTAACGAAGTAAGACCAGATGTATTGTAGGGCAGAGCAGAGCCTAGATCGGACATATCAAGATCACCTTGCTTCTTGTTGTCGCTCATTTTGCTTTTACAAAGCCTACGCCGCGCCTCTTGTTCTACGTCGCGGATATAGGAGAGCAAAACCCTAAAGGAAGCAAAGAAGATCGAGGAAAGAGGGGGACCAGAAGCGAGATGCTGTCAATTTATAGCGGAATCTTACGAGGGAAGAGCTGGATTGGGTGGTGGTGGACGGGGTGACACCATGGGTGCGTTAATTCTTTTGTTATAGTATATTCATAGATAGATTCGGTTTGGAACTCCTGTTATGTATTTGTATAAAGGAGTAGGTGTCAAAAATACGTTAATGGGTTATATTTAGGTTTAATTTAAAATTGATTCTATTCCAATTTCGTTTATTTAGATCTAATCTGAATCTGACCCGCTATCAACCCTAATTTGATACTCTAATAACCCAAACTTGACCCAATAATCATTTCCAATTATATATATATATATATCCTCAAAAAATTATATTGATCGAGCATGAATCATGAGGAAAAATAAAGTTGTAAACTTTCTAAATTAAAATTTGGACCATTTGAATTCTGATTTCATCAAACTTATAGTCGAACTGAACGTCTCGAGAATACAAACCCAACAACATCAAATTCAACCTAATCCGAGCCCAATGGGTCCAAATCAAGGATCTGAAGCGATGTTGGAAGGTTCAAACCATAGTTTGGATTACCAAATGGTTTCCAAATATGATGTGCCTATAGTTGAATAAAGCGGCTCGATGAGACAAATCCAACGGGCCCAAGATCACTAAATTCTGATATCACTAAGACATTCAAATGTCCATCAAACATCCACGATCAGGGTTTCAACATCAACCGTCCATGCAAACCACTCCTCAATTGCCTGTGATCTTTCACTTATCTACTTGTCATGTAACTCCAAGAAATCTATAAATAGAGCCCTCTTTCATCTTAAAGAGGGACCATAAGCCAAAGGATTCAAGAGAGGGATCAGAGATCGCTCTTGCCTACTTGCCTCCTCGGCTACCACTTAAAGTTTCGTTGGACCACCACTTGAGGCCCTGAGGTCCGTCGGACCACCACTGAAGGCCCTGAGCTCCACCAGACCACCACTTGAGGCCCTAAGCTTCGTTGGACTACCACTTAAGGCCCTGAGCTCTCTGGACCACAAATTGATGCCCTAAGCTCTGTCAGACCACCACTTGAGGCCCTGAGCTCTACCGGACCACCACTTGAGGCTCTGAGCTCCACCAAACCACCACTTGAGGCCCTGAGCTCCGCCGGATCACCACCTAAGGCCCTAAGTTCCATCGGACCACCACTTGAGGCCCTGAGCTTTACCGAACCACCACTTGAGGCCGTGAGCTCCGTCACACCACCACCTCAAGCCCGGACTTCTACCGGACTACCACCTCAGCCTGGAGTTCTGCCGGACAACCACCTGAGGCCCGAACTTCTATCAGATCACCACCGAAGGCCTAGAGTTCTGCCGGACCACAACCTGAGGCCCGAACTTCTATCAAACCGCAACATGAGGCTCAGACTTATGCTGGACCACCACTTGAGGCTTGAAGTTCCACCGGACTACCACCTGACGGCCGGAGTTCTACCAGACCACCACTTGAAACCCGAAGTTCTGCCATACCAGCACTTGACATCCTGAATTTCGCCGGACCACCATCTGACGCCAGACTTCTGCCGGACCACCACCCGACACTGAAGTTCTGCAAAACCACCTCCAGGCTACCAACTAAAGCCCGAATTTTCAAGTAGCACTGACTTCTACCAGTCCACTAACTGACGTTGGACTTTCATCCCCGTTTGTCACTAGATTTCAACCATACGGTTGTCATTTGTAATCTGATCGCCCTCAAGGACGAGTCAGCTCGTTGTAATCTACTCGAATTCTAATGGACTCATTTTTAATTGGGTCAAGCCCTATGATTTTTTCCTTTTCAATGTTTTCCACGTAAAAATATTATTTTAATTATCTGTATGTGAGTTGGATATCCGTACAATGCTAAGGCGTGTGAATATAACTATATCGCCGCATATATTCTAGCCCGCAACAATATATTTATTGCCTTATTAACCATAAATTTTAGATTAATTGAAAAAATGAGAAGATTATACCAACAAATAAAAGAATTTAAGGAAAAAATATTAAACGATTCTTTTTTTTGTTCAACATAGAAATGACGTGTCAACTTAAACCCGATTCATTTATTAAACTTATCAAAATACACAACCTAAACATGGCCCGTTTATTAAAAGAGTCCATCCAAACCAAATTAGTTTATTAAACGGGTCAACCCGAACTCGAATTTTTGGATTGGGTCTGGGTCAGATTGACCAGTCCTATCTTCTATTGATACGTACCCCTGTTATCAAGATGTGTGGTTGCCACTAAAATAAGCATAATTTTGAAAATTAGATATAATATTAAATTGGAAGATGAAAATTTTCAAAATTTAAAAGTTGAAGTGGAATTTAATTGAAATTAAATAATGGTGATGTGATAATAGATATTCAAAGTTTAATTAGTGATAATAATGCTAAAATAAATAAAAAAAAGGTTTGTTTTATAAAATATAGAATAAAAATATGAAATATTTTATAGAATTAAAACTTAGATATTTTAAATAATTATATTTAAATGATTAATATTTTAGTAATAACTAAAATTTAAATAATCTATCAAAACTTGCATTTCCTTTTTTCAGAAAATAAAGTTATAAAAATGTATTTAATAAACTAGCCTTTAATTATCAATAATATATCACAAATTAATTTCTATATAATTTTATCTATTATTACTTAGCAAATAAAGTTTAATATTATTTATATTAAGATTAATTTGCAAATATTAAATAAAAAAATGATGACATCAAGTATAAAATTTAGTGATGAAATGAATTAAGCTGTTCAGTCAAGCAGTAAAAGAGTCATCTATTCAACAATTCAATTTTTAGTTTATTCTCAAACTCACACATGCAACGCATACACATAGACTCGAACCCTGAACCTCTTAGTTGGAAGCCAAAGCTCTCAACCAATAGGCCAAGGAGAGTTGTGTATCTTAGTTTTTGTACAATAAAATTTTAATGTTGAGTTAAATCGATTGTGAAATTGGTTCACAGTTTGACAATTTGATCGATCATATTGGTTGTTTAGATCTTATTTTTAAACCTTTGAAAATAAGTGAAAAATACTCCTTTTATAAGTACTTAATTTTTTTTATATATTTGGTTGAAAGTTATTCAGCTTCTTATGAGTCGGCTTTCTTATTGCTTATTAAAACAATTTTTTTAAAAAAAATATTTAAATTTTTTTGCCAGAAAGCTGTTTAAAAAAGGAGTAAGAAAGTCATCACAAATGAAGCCCTCAAAAGCTAAATTTTTAATTTTTAATGTGATGATATTTTATGATTTGTGTGCATAAAGATATATTATAACTTATTTTCATAAATTTCATTATTTTATAAGATCATAATTTAGATAACATAAATATACATTTTTCTTCATATTTATGAAAAATAGTATCATATAGTTGTTAGAATGGGAAGATCTACATCAACTAGGACTGAATCCTACATTTTTTTTTTAAATTAAAGTTAATGTTGTTTGATTCAAATATATTCGTGAATGACACCCAACCCTACTAGCAGACAAACTCTTAGAGGAGTGATCTGGAGCCTCTGTAAGAATGGGGAGAAAAAAGAAATACTAAAAAAAATCAAAGAAAATACACAATAAAGTATTGAAAGCCTGATCAGTTCATAGATCTAAGAGATACAAAAGATCCAAAGATCCAAAATGATCTTCACCACCCCTTATTTATAGGATTTTGAGCTGAACATCTTTATAGGATTTTGAGGGCAAGAATAAAGACCACACCCCCAAAAATAAAAAGGAATAATGCTATACAAACTACCCTTGAAACTTGCCACCTCTTAATTGGATGATAGAGACCAGGGGGCTACATAGCTTTGATGTTCTATCTCTAGGTGAGCTCATAGATGCCTAATGTGCACTAGCCAACCTTCATAGTATGGGGGATGAAGGAAATTGCCCTGGGCAACGGCAAGTCATTGTGGGCTATCTCCCTTCCAGGAGGCGAGTGGTAAGTTCCTCAGTTAACGGGATCCTCTATTACCCCCGAGGGGGGTGGCCTTCCTTTGTAGGCCCAGGCGAGTGGGGCTCGATGTTAGTTGGGTGAGTTCTTCTTTGTGACCCATTAGATATGAGTTATCTCCATCTAACATGTCGGCTACCTGCTAAATATCTAAGAAGGCATATGCGAGCATATAAATGCCACACAACCTTAATTGCAAAATATGAATCTTTTTGTGATCGTGTTGCAAGAGAATTTTAGAGTCATGCACATAATAAAGCATAGTCAAATCCAAAATGATTCTATCAGATTGCATAAAACTGCACAGGAGCATACACATTTTTTTGTATTTCATGATCAAGTTTCTAATATGTATTATATAGTCCAAATGACAATTATTATTTTATAATAAAATATGATTTATAGGAGTAACATTAATTGCATTGAACAAAAGTAACATGTCTGAAACTATATCTTCAACTACAAGAATACATAATTGAGATTGTGTAGTAATAAAAAAAATGCAAAATTATTCATAAAATATGATGATTTTATTATGAACATGAAATAATTTTCAATAAGATATATATAATAAAGTTGAGTATTAAAAGTATGACTAAAAACTTATAAATATCTACAAACTGATAAAAGCAACAAGGATAACTCTCTTAATAAAGAATGATATATTTATCATCTAATAAACAAATATTACTTACCTCAAGTTATGCGACATGAAACTCAAACTTTAATTGACATCTTATTAAACAATACTACATGAATAACAACTAGAACATCATAATCGAGGAACCCTAAATTCATATTTAAAGCTATAGTAGGAAGAAAAATATATAATAACACAAGACCTAATCCACCCATAACTTAATTACAATGAACCTTAAATAAGTTATTGAAAGTCATTGCTCAAACATAATCAATATAACTTACTCCAACATTAGCTTAAGGGGAGGATGGAAAGAAGGAGAGGAGCAAGAAGAAGAATGGTCGCTCATTATTCTTATTCAATAAAGGAAGAAGAAGACCAGGA